AGGGCAGAAGAAAAAGTTGGCCAGAATTCACAGAAGCAGCTGGATGGAGGTTTCTGGCCACCTGCCTGGAAGAGTGACTTGGGGTGGAGGCACAAAATCCACCTGAGCACCTGCAAGTATAAGAGAAATAAACCCCAACCTCTCCCTCTCCCAGGGGCTGCCTTCCTCCAGGTGCACCCATCAGCCAACCCATTGGAAACAAGGCTTCTGCTAACTAAGGTTGAACAATGGTGCCAATATCTCAGAGTCCAATGTTCAAGAGCAGGAAGCATCCAGCATAGAAGAAAGATGTAGGCTGGGAGGCTAGGCCAGTCTCACATTTCACGTTTTTCTGCCTGCTTTATATCTGCTGGCAGATGATTAGAGGGTGCACATTCAGCTTGAGGGTAGGGCTGCCTTCTGTAGCCCACTGACTCAAATTTTAGTCTTCTGTGGTAATACCCTCACAGACACATCCAGGATTTACTTTGCGTCCTTCAATCCAATCAAGTTGACACTCAGTATTAACCATCACAAGTCCACCCCTTATAAACTTGAACCCATACACATCTTCTGAGTTCATATATAATCTTCAAATAAAGACAATAATAAGGTCATAGTTGTACCTAACATAATACAACTGTCCTTTGTGCAACTGGAAATGCACCAATCCCCAACCCAAATACAATTACATAAAGTTAACAGTACTTAAATGTTGATGTGAAGTCAATAAGCCTTATGTCACACGAAAAAGGTAAAGGAAAAAAATGAAGGTATTTTCTAACTACAAGTGTACACATACACAAACATGTTTCAACAAAAGAAGGAGGAAATACTTAGGACAGTTATACAGTCCTCGTTTTGCAGCTGGTCACAAGGTCGTAGCTGGTATTGATGACCACCTTCTTTTACTACCCATTCTGTATCCTCTTTGCCTTCAGCAAGCACCTTAGCAGGTCATGGTTTTTTTCCTAGTGGAGTGACCCAAACCTTCATTCCTAAAGAGTCAGGTCTATTTGTAGTCCTGCCTGGATTGGGCTGTTGTTGTTTCCCATTGACCTTAATCACAGGCTGTGATAACACTAAGAGATGAAAAAAAAAAAAAAAAAAAAAATACTAAGAGATGCCCTAATGGAGCTCCTGTATTCCACGCACACTCTTCCTTACTTTTGTTGTGAAGTAGTAGACTGATTTCATCTTGATAGTCTGGGTCAATCACCCCAGGCAACACTAAACTGGAGGTTAAGATTGCCACCTGGAAACTTTGGGATCCTCCTACCTTTAAGTCAACAGGCTAAGAAGGGAAGTTCTTTATAGCAGCATGAGAATGGACTGATAAACCTTTCTCCAAGCTAGTTACACCCAGGCTCCTTTTAATAAATGGCTCCTCATTGCCTACAAAAAAAAAAGGCAAAGCTCAGGTCCTTTAGTTATTTTTTCAGCACAAATAGTGCCTAAAGCCAGTTTTCTAGACTTTCCTCAATATTTTCACTTTCTTACTTTTTACAGTATTTTCTAGAAGTGAAGGCATAATTCCATAACAGTGATCATCCATGAGGTTCAGTGGCATTAATCTTTATAAACAGATGCTAAGCCCCAGAGGGCAGGATGGGGTCTTCACTTTTCTGCACCTGTGTAACACAGCCAGCTCAGGAGATGTTCAATTAACATTTGTTTTATCGATTTCTTTTGACACAAAAATCTTCTACATCCATTATTTGCAGAGAAGAAGAATCAGAAAATAGAAGTGAACAATTACATTAATAAATGTGATGGAATCACTGCAAATTCTAACAATATTAACAGTTATGTGTATGATCAACTGAAAATGTTTCTTTTTTCTCTTTCTTGCTGACCAAAAAGTTTTTTTCAAGTGTAGATTAAAAATTCAACTAAATTTTCAACTGCAAAATGTTTCTTTTATCCTTAAGTACTCCCTTGGTTTCCCGTTTCATCTAATTATTACCTATTTGTTTCTTTCCCCACACAATCAGGTTTCTTGAAAGAAGAGTCTACACTCCTGTTTGCCTTTGAGGAATACACTCTACAGGTTGCTCTCACATTTCTTCAATCACCACACAGTGGACTTTCAATGTATACTGAACACATGAGAGAATGGATGCATAAGCCCTTGTTTCCCTGGGAATTCTCACCTGTTGTTACCACTTCACACCCACAGGCATGACTCTTCATGCAAAATTCCATTGTGACCTTTCTCCTTTGCTCCAGTCCTGTAGATCTCTAACTGCTACTGGGCATTCACTCCTGGATTCCTAACTGGAACTTTCAATTCAGTATTTCCCTATCTAAATGCATCATCCTTTCCCCTAACAAAGTTGTTCATTTTGTATTTGCTACACTCATCAATGAAATGACCGCCATCCAGGTCACTAAGTCCTAAACTGGCAGTCTTCTAGAATCTTTCCTCTCTTGCTGGCTTTTCCTGTTAAGTGGCTTTTGAATCTCTCTTACCTTTTTCATCCTATTCATCCCTTAAAGCTGTGCTCTGTTACCATCATTTCCAGGAAGCCCTCTCTGAACAGTCCATTTGTCCTCACTCATCTGCCCATCACAGCAGTTAGCAACCAGGGGATGCTGAAATCATTAATTTAGGAGCTCTCTTCTCCCCAAGAAGGATGGGTTCTTGAGGGCAGAGAGTAAGGCTTGGTTACCTTCCATCTTAGCACAGTTCTGACATAGGGTGGAGCTCTAAACATTTGTGGAGCTGTCAATCGAACTTAACTCCCACCTGCCTTACCTTCCCTGCTGTGATTCAAACCTAATCATCTCTCACCTGAATTATGACAACAGGTGTGATTGCTGTTATTCTCCCAGGGATGCCTAGCTCCAAACCACCTGCACAATGTGAAGGTCAGAATGAGCTTAGAAAACTCTAATATGAATATGTCATGGAGAGGCCCAAAGAGCAAGAGACTTGCCAAGAGCACACAGCTAATTAATAACACTAGGAAACTCTACTGATTGCCTATCACCAAGCCTTAAATGCAACCAAGGACCCCAATCCGGCCAATTCTATCCATAACTATCCATCAAAGATTTTTCAGAGTCAGAAGTTTGCAAAACTGACTGTTTATACTAAATTCCTTAAGCAGCAAAATAAAAGTTAGATGCTGCCATCCCTAGTATCTTCAAATGTGCATTGTTTCCCTACTGAAACACTGTTCACTTAAGAATCAAAGGAGAACTCCCTATGAATGTTCTCAAAGAAAATATGAACAAGTTCAAATCTCCTCAAGTGAAGTTACACCTGCTGTGGCGATCCCAGCACCTTACAACTTTGCAGGAAATGGGAAAGGAGGCACAGCAGAAAGCATGTGCTATTTATCCAACTGCATCACTCACTAACAGGAAACACATGGCCTACCTAAGGCAGGGAGTCTTCTGGCCTTACGACGGCCTCAGTAGCCCAAAGACAAGACAAACAGAAAGTTATTTCCCTTGTGTGTCCAGACATTGATGATAAAGGAAAACCCACACAACGATATTAGATTTGCTAATCTCCTGAATTACTACTCAACAGAGTCCAATGCAGAGAATGTGGAAAATTCTAAAAAGATTCTGACATATCCAGTTGTTGGGCATGGAGATGAGGGGTCCAAAGAAGAAAGGTAGATATTCATGAAGATTTCAGAGGATAGGATGGTGAATGAGTTCACTTCTGCTGCCTTTCTTCTCCTTGCTAAGTCAACTGGGATAGTGAGGGTATGCATAATGCAATAACAAGCAACCTCAAGCCCCAGTGCTTTAAAATAGCAAAAACTTATTCTTGCTCCATTATGCATCCATTTGCTGTTGTCTGTGATATCTACTCCATGCTTTTGACAGCCTCAGTTTAGGAAACCAGGCAGACTGAAAAAGGGACAACTGTCAGGAACCACATTGTCCACTAAAAACATAATGCAAGCCACAAATGTGAGCCACCTGTGTGAGTCTGAATTTCTCATAGCCATATTTTAAACAGCAAAAACAAGCACACAAAATTAATTTCAATAATATTTTTAATTTAACCTACTAGATTCAAAAATAGTATCTTTTCAACAAGTAATGACATACAAAAATTATTGCTATTTTACACACTTTTTTGTACTAAGTCTTTGAAATCCAATATGTCTTTTTTCACTTATGGCACATCTCAATTTGCACTAGCCACTTTCAAGTGCCCAGTGGCTACATGTGGCTACACAGTGGCTGTAGGGTGGGTCTGTATGTTTATAGAAAAAAAGAGAGCTCCAGAGGAACTTACACCTCAATGAAATGCTCAACACCAAACTGATTGTACTTCCCAAAACCAAGGGCTGGGAAGTACAGCCCTACCATGTCCCTGGAAGACAGAGACCTTGGGAATATGCAGTGAGCAAAACTTCAAGATGGCCACATTTGTCTTTGTGAATAATATCTCCCTATAACAACAGCTACTATAACAATTATGTTGAACAAGCCAGGCTCCTAGGAGGACATCAGATAAGCCTTTAATTGTTTTCCTCCCATAACCCATTCAAATCAGTTCTTTCCCCACCCCAGCATGGACTCTCAGGAAGCTTCTATCATATTTCCTGTCTCTCTTAGAAAATAAAAAGACTTCCAGCCACTTCAAGTCACAACACCATCTCGACCCAGTAATTAAAATATAACATTCCATCCAATACTCTGAATCTCATTTAGGGTTAAGGAGTCTGCCTTTTTCAAGTTGGGACTGCAAGTCTGAAGAAGCCTGTTGTGGGAGGGGTGGCTAATGTGGTGAGGTCCTCTCTATTTCCCTGTCCTGTGCCTGTCCCTGCTTCCTTCAGCTCTTCTAGAAATGAGGTAGGGGCAAATGGGAGCCAAGGGCAGGAAAGGTCATACTTTCTTGGTGCCAACCTAACCTAGTATTGGTCTCGTCAGTTTGTGGATGTTCAAAGCTGCCTTTCAGAGGAGGGTTTAGAAACATCCCTTCCACCCCCCGCCCCACCTCCACCCTCACCCCAGAAGCATTCAGATTCACTTCCCATGACACAGGCTACCTGTGTTCCTGTAGCTGGCTGCCTACGTTTCCTCCTTCAGCCTCTGAGGATAGGGTGGTCATCCCTTTTGTTGAGATCATACCACTGCTGTGCAGGCGATCCTCTTCTGCAGTATTTTCACAAGCCCCACAGGGCCTTATCCTGCTTGTCTGCGATGGGAAGCACTCACTTGGGCATCCTTTGCCCTGGCAAGACAGGAGCACAGACAGATTCCAGTGCAGTCATCTCCTCGGCCACCAGGGCACCAGTCAGCCACAGCCTCTGGCCTTTAGGCTGTTTCCAGGCATGATCTGCCACCAGCCTCCAGGCTACACAGATTGCAGTTGACACAGGTCAAGGTCAGAGTCCTTTTGAAGCACCTCACAGTCTGCTCGGGGTAAAGGGAAGCACCCTCCCACCATTCCCATGGAGGGGAAAGAAAAATTCCATTGCACTGCAACTGTTTTCCCCAAAGAAACTATTTCTCTAATTTTTAAGAAGCCTCTCACGGTTCTTCAGCCTTTTTAGATCTTCCAGATGGGAGAAGAGCTAAGAGTTGCAGAACTGGCTTTTGGCCATCCCTTTGCAAGTCCCACATTGCTTTGATGTGGGAGTATTTGCCACCTACAATTTGGTTCTGGTTCTTTTGAGAGCTTTAGCTGAATAGAGACAAAAAGAATCTCCTTTTAACATCTTGTTAAACTACCATGTATTGGATATCCACATTAGTGTCATTTTATTTACACTATCTTATTTAATTTTCACATGAACAGTGCAAGCTAGGTGTCAATATGTCAAATGAGGACATATCACAGACGCATATGCAAGGCTCAGAGAGGTTAGATAGGAATTGATGAAGCAGGTCTGGTATTTAACCTGCCTACAGATTATTAGATATTAAACCCTTCTGTAGAAGTAATAGAACAATCCAGAATCATTTAAAATTATTCAACTCCAGCAGATGATCATCTGTTAGTGTCTTCTACAGGCTCCCTGTCTGAACAGAAAGCAAATAGTGTTTCTGTCTTAGGGTCGGCTCTCCACCTCTGGGCTCACCACCTCTGTGTCACTCTGGCCATGTTTGGGAAGCAGCTTGGCTTTATGGGTTTGCACACATCAGAAACTCTATTTCCTCTGAGCTGCCTTTCATGCTGCTTCCCTCACCAGAGATGAGGGATGGCGCTTTAAATCCTGCTGACTTCTCCTGGGCCAGCCCCTGAAGAGTGCTGAAAGCAGCATGCATTTTCCCATTCTAAGGCCATCAAAGGGAACTTTTGTTTAGTTGAAAGTTACGAGAAACTTTCAACTAAACAAAACCCACTGATCAGAACTCCAAAATAACAGACATTGTCTTCTATATTTCATTTTTAAAAGAAAAGAGGCAAGTTACAACAAAGGAGGTCAATGTGAGAGCTTTGAGGGTGGGGAGTGTTTAGGAAAACAACTTCCTGGTGATGTCCTGACTCTGCTCAGACATGCCTCACTCCCTTCCACATTCCCCCATTTCCTCTTCATTCCCTGCGCAAGTGAAATTTGGATACGCCAGAATGCTTTGCAGATGTAAAGTTCAGGCTGAGATTTTTCACTCTTTGAGTATTAATCAGGCACTCTCCTAATATTAAGTCTTTAGCTTGACAACCTTCCAAAAGCTGTAAGGCCAGGCCATCATAAGAACTGGAGGGAAGCTTCCTGAAACTCCCTCTGCTGACCGGGGATCTTGCTGCGCTCAGATGCTGCTCCCCTCACCAGAAATGAGGGATGGTGTTTAAATCATGCTGACTTCTCCTGGGCCAGCCCTTGAAGAGTCCTAAGAGCAGGAAAACTCAGCCAAGAAAGTCATGGGCAGCTACTCACACTACAGGGCGCTGTGTCTGCCAAACCCCAGATTCACAGGCTTCTATGTGCAAAGCATGGCTTTATTGGGATAAAACTGACAAACAGTAAACTATATATATTTAAATTGTACAATTTGGCAAGTTTTGATATACATATCTACCTGTAAAAACCATTACCACAATCAAGATATATGGACAAATCTATTCCTCTCAAAAATTTTCTTTTCCCTTTTTAATTACTTCCACCAATTATTCCTCTCTTCTCTCCCCTCATCCTCATGAAAGCAACCGGTGACAGACAAATTCCTAGGTAAACAGGGACAGTTCCCCAGTAAAACCCAACCTTCAAGCCAAAGACTGCCTGAAACCTGAAAAACCAAGCTGCCTGTTCCAGATAGAGTCCATGACCAGAGTGAGGACTCCTATCCCCATCTTACCCTATATCTCTTGATTGGTTCCTTCTGGATGATGCTTTTAACCAATCAAATGGTGCTTTTTCCACCTATGGACCAATCAGCATGGATTCTCCCATTCTAAGGCCATAAAAACCCCAAACTCAGCAACACAGGCAGCCACCCACTCAGGATTGAGTTTTCCTTATGTTGCTCAATAAAATTCTTCTTTGCTTTACTCACTCTCCAGTGTCCATGTATGTCATTCCTTTTGGTTGTGGGACAAGAACCCAGAACCTGCTGAATGGCAGGAGCAAAAAGAGCTACTGGTGCTGCACCCTCCCATTAACCTAACTGCAGGCAGCAGGAACAAATGGGCTCTAACCCTCCTGTTCACCAAGCTGCAGGTGATGGGAATGAATTAGCTGTAACCCTCCTTTCTGCCCACTGAGCTGCAGGCAGTGGGAATAAAAGGATTTGTAACCCACACTCCTGCTCACCAGACTATAGGAGAAAGAGAGCTATGACTCCCAGTTGCCAAGCTAGGGGAGTGAAGATCTGCAACATCTCTTAGGGGCTCAGACCTTGGGACTCCTCCAGGAAGAGCTGTAACACCCCTTGGGGTTCCGCGATTGCTGGCATCTCCAAGTGTTCAGGCATCACCACATTCCCCTTGTCTAGATACTGATGCCCAAGGCAGAAGCCACTTGTGGCACACCCTATTCAGCCATGGGCTGAGTGTGGAGCCACAGTGGGAACAGGACCCCAGCCAGGGAAGGAGCTGAGCCCAGCCTGCTGGGTTGAGCGACAGAGCGAGCCCAGAGGGCCCCAAGCAAGACCTGAGCAGAGGCAAAAGCAGCCACAGAGATTTCTGGTTGGCAAAGCAGCACCAGAGGAATTCTGTAACACCCAGGCAACCACTGATCTGTTTTCTGTCATTATAGACTAGTTTGCATTTTCTAGAAATTTTTATCAAAGACACACAGCATGTACTCTTTTTTATATGGCCTTTCTTACTCAGCATACTTATTTTGCAATTCATCCATGCATGTTGCACATAGTAGCAATAGTTCATTTCTTTTTATTGCTGAGAAGTATACCATTGCATGAACATACAGAATTTATCTATTAACCTTTTGCTTGACATTTAGGTTGTTTCAATTACAAGGAAAGCTGCAATGAACATTAATGTATACTTTCTGTATGGACATAGGCTTTCATTTCTCTTGGATATGTATCTAGGAGTAGAGTGAATCATGTGTGTTTAGCTTTTTAAGAAACTGTCAAGCTGTTCTCCAAAGTGGTTGTACCATTTTACTTTCCCACCAGCACCATATGAGAATTTCAATTCTTTTTTTTTTTTTTTTTTTTTTTATTTTTTATTGGATTATAGGTTTTGGGGTACATGAGCAGAGCATGCAAGACAATTGTGTAGGTACACACATGGCAGTGTGCTTTGCTTTTCTTCTCCCCTTCACCCACATTTGGCATTTCTCCCCAGGCTATCCCTCCCCACCTCCCCCTCCCACTGGCCCTCCCCTTTTCACACTCTTGTCAACACTTGGAGTTGTCAGTCCTTATAATTTTGGACATCCTAATAAGTACACAATAGTATCTCATTATAGTGTTAATTTGCATTTCCCTGAAGACTAATGGCAATGAGCATATTTTCATGTGTTTATTTGCCATTCACATATATTTGGTAAAGCATCCCTCCTTTTTATTATTTTCATATTATTGACAAAACATGACTTTTGATCATACATCAGTTTTTTTCTCTTGGATATATATCTATGAGTAGAGTGAATGGTGTGTGTTTGGCTTTTAAAGAAACTGTCAAGCTGTTCTTCAAAGTGCTTATCATCAGTAGACTTAGGCTTAAAAAGTTTTAAGTGCATACCCACATGTTCAAGTATGTATATATAAATAGACACACACATGCTAATCAGGAAAATGTTTTGTGACATGATATTAGAGAATAAAATCCCCAGAAGCCTCAAAACCAGTATCAGCAGGGCAGAGCTACTTGTGTAGCTGTATCTGACCATAGGGGATTTCCTATGAAGAAAATGAAGAAAAGCCTAGAACCCAATGTCATGGCTGGCTGTGGCCTAAGGGGAAATGTTGCTGCAGCTGATAGGACTTGAGTGGTGGGCACAATATGCCAGGGGTTCCTATGGCAACAAGATAGCTAGCCAAAAAGTGTTGTGAACCAAATAGACTCGTGACAGCCAAGAGCTTAAGTGCATAGATTCAGAAGCCAGGTGGACCTGGATTTGAATCTTTTTCCACTACTGGCCTAGGGCTTTGAGCAAGCTTATCAACCTCATTTTCTTCATTTGTAAAATGGGAATGAAGCTGCCTCACCTTGAAGCTACACTTGGTTGTTGGGCAAGTTAAGTGAGAAATTTGTGTGGTATATAGCAAAGACCCTGGTGCTCATAATGAGCACTAATAAACTCTAGCTGATATAATGAAGGGAAATTTTAAAACGAGAGTGAACAGCATGAATTCTGGGACCAGCCAGAATGGGTTAGAACACTGACTCTTTCTATTCTTAGCTGTGTGATCTGGGACAAATATCTTCACCTTTCTGTGCCACAATAACCTCATCTGTAAAATGGGAATAATATGGTAAAACCTGAGGTTGTTATGAAAGTTAACTGAGGTAGCGTAAAGTACACAGGATGGCGGTAGCAGACAAGATGGACATGCTATGACAGCTCAGTGATCTTTCTAAGCTCACATCAATACACAGGCATATCTTGGAGATAGTACAGGTTCAGTTCCAAACACTGAAATATCAAAATAAAGGGAGTCACACAATTTTTTTGGTTTCCCAGTGCATATAAAAGTTATGTTTACCCTACACTGTAGTCTATGAAGTATATAATAGCATTATGTTTAGGAAAACAATGTACATACCTTCATTTAAAAATACTTTATTGCTAAAAAATACGAACAATCATTTGAGCCTTCAGTGAGTCATAATTTTTTTGCTGGTGGAGAGTCTTACCTCGATGTTGAGGGCCTTGGTCTGGATTAGGCTTTAGCTTAAGGGAATATCATGACTGGTTTGATTTTCTTTTCTTTTTTTTTTTTTTTTTTGAGACGGAGTTTCGCTCTTGTTACCCAGGCTGGAGTGCAATGGCGCAATCTCGGCTCACCGCAACCTCCACCTCCTGGGTTCAGGCAATTCTCCTGCCTCAGCCTCCCGAGTAGCTGGGATTACAGGCACGCACCACCGTGCCCAGCTAATTTTTTGTATTTTTAGTAGAGACGGGGTTTCACCATGTTGACC